CCATTAGTGGTACAAGCCATCATGTTCCTCTGTTTTCCTCCTGCTACCCCCCTCAGCAAGTGTTGGTTGCCCTTTAGTCCTGTTAGGCAGTTCTCATCTCTCTGCAGCTCTTCTGCTGACAATGGATGGCAGTTACCCTTTTCAACCTTACTTTGCATAACAATAGCCATCCAAGGATTATCATACCATATAATACTTGCTTTTACCAGCTCTACATTTTTTCACTTTGATTTAATACCCTTTTGGTCTTCTGTGAGAAAACTTACTTCCATTTGTCCAGTTTGACTGTGTTCTATGCCATACATGTTTTGCTGCCTGCTTCTAGTTTATGGTTTTGTTTTGCCATTCAGTGTCCCAATGCTCATTTGTCTTCCATATGAAACCAGTAGTGCTAGTACCTCTCAAATGTACAGTCCTGGTGATGGCAGGTGAAGGATGAATGTTGCTTTTCTAGTAGGATTTAAGATTGGTTGAGTTTCTGCTAGCATCCTGTTTGATCCTGAGAGAAAAGAATGCTGTGTGAAGTCAGCACAAGCACCTGTAAATGTAATTTTGCTTCCATTTCCTTCCCCAAACAGCTTTTTCTAGGAAGGCTGCTTTAAGGTATGATGGGGAAAAATATAAATCCCTAAAAAAACCCTTCAGCTGGAGGACAGGGGTGATGTGAGAGAGGATACTATCTGGGCTTGAGTGGGAGGAGTATGTGACACCAAGGGAGGTGAGCACCTAGGTTGGTGGGAGGGGAGTGGGGAAGTGAAGGGAGCATGAATGAAACAAGAGTCTGAGGTGGCAGTGGGTGGGGGCGTGTGTTTTTGCTACCGACTCCATAAAGAGTGCGATGGAAATCCTGAACCCAGCAAGGATGGGAGGAAAAAAAAAAGTGTAAAAATCAGGGAAGCCAAGGAAATTGTGTGACATGAGGGTGAAAGCCAAAGAGGAGGAGCTGGCAGTGAGGTTACAGTGAGCAATTCTGATGCCACCATTCATCAGCAGAGGTATGTTGTTTAACTTCCTTACTGTGTTCAAAGGCCTGACAGCCCTGCATGCGTTGTCCTAAGCTTCTGTCTTGCTGCCTTGCATATGCTGTCCCCACAAATCACTGTGTTTGCAGCTTTGCTCCATTTGTATGTCCATTTTGGTTGTGTTTGCCAAGTGGGTATATCAATATATCTTACTAAAGAGTTCCTCCGATCCTGCTGCAAGACTTCAAGGCAGTGAGCCCAACTCTGGGCGGAGAAGGGATGTGGCTAAAATGCTATAAAAATCCCTTCACTATTGATGAAAAGTCAAAGCACTTTATTAATAAATGCTAATGACAAGTGGTGCTGTAATATTAAACTGTTCTTCTCAAGAGTTCAAAGCATCCCAGCCCACCAGCATGTAGGAGGTAAATACTACAGTGGTCTTGCATGTGAGTGAATGCAGAGCAGTGTGGCAGAGTGAATGAGTTACCCCGGAGTAAAACTCAGATGTTCTGACTCCTGGGTTGGGGAGAATCCATGCAGAAGGTGAAAGATAATATCTGACTTGTTATCTTAGAGATATGTATGTAAAGGACCTGTGTCCGATGTAGGAGTGAGTCTGTAAAGGCTTTCACTAGAGGCTCTTTGTTGTTTTTATTTTTACTTGCAGAGGTGGTCTGTCACCCTTGAAGTACAAGGCTTGTTCTTCCCTAGCAATCTAATGTTTTTAAGGAGGACAGAAGCCATTAAACCTGTCTAGTTCTATTTAGTTGTTTGTGATTAGTTCAAATGATTGCCTATAAATTGTGCCAGGTCTTACGGGAAGTGAGTTAAAAATATTAGTAAAATTTCTCAGAATAGTTGGCAAATACAAGCGTTTGATACGGAGCAAGATTATCTACTTCATAGACTGTCTTGTGGCACTAATTTTTATGGTATCTAAACTCACCAAATTAGTGGCTTTGTCAGCAATGTTCTGAGGGAGAAATTTCTATATTTAAGAAGAGGTGGGAGGGGAAGTACTGAGAGCTGCCCAGGACTGCATTGGGTGCAGAGGACAACCCTCTTCCCCCCCTTTTTATGCTGAGGAGCTGTTTCAGGAGTGACTTTCACCCAAGACTTTTCAGTGAGCTATTTGTATCTAGTTCCCTAGCCTTTCACAAAAGAAGGCTTCCTAACTTTTGGGGAAAGGGTGAGAGTAGAGAAGAGGATTCTCTTTTATGACTTTTTTTAAATCTCAGAATGAACTTGGCAACTCTGTAAATCTCCCTTAGGAAAGCAGCCTGTCTCCTGAAGCATTGCTCCCACTGCTTCCAGCTGCTTCTAAAGGAGTCTTGACAACCAAAAAGCAAAGAACATCAAGGGCTTTTCGAGCCTGTTGGGATTTATGGATTCATTTTCAACTTGGCAGCAAGAGCTGGACTCAGATGCATCTCAACAGAGATACCAAATAGCAACAGCCTCCTACCCTGTCTGTGCAAAAGCTGCTGCCTCCTTTCTCTTAGCAGCCCCTTCCCTTAACTCAGGAACTGACAAAGCCAAAAAGAAATCCTCCTGTCTTGGAAAGTGTAAAAGGCTCTGTGGCAGAAACTCCTAAGTCCCAGATGCTTGTGCTGTGGTGAACTAACAGAACAGCCTGTGCTTTCTGTGGGCCCTGGGCCAGCGGTAGAACTCCTCTCAAGCAGGCAGTGTGACACAGCACTGCTGCTGAGCTGCCCTTCAAACAAAAGCTCCATGAGAAAAAACCCTCTGGTGAGCAGAAGAGCCAAGAGAAATCAAGTTCTGTTTAGTGCCAAAGTCTGATTTATTTTGTCAGACACTTTCTCAGCAGAGTGCACATTCTATGTATTTTACTGAAAGATTCCCAGTAAATAAGACAGAAATGAAAGAAAAATAAGTTATTAAACAGCAAGAGAGGGTTTTGAACAACCACAAAATTCCTGTGCATCCTCAAAGGAAAAGGAGAAAAGCTCATGCGCATGTCTCCAGCAAGCCAAGGGCACTATATAAAGGCAGTGTGCCAATTTTCCTATAGATTTTAAATGCTTTTTGTATTGAAATATGTAATGTACATTCCAGACACAAAAATAAATGTTGACATGTACGGTTCTATCCTGCTCCATTGCTGTGTGTATATTTTCTGAATGCTGTCATTTTGGACTTACTCAGAGAGCGTGTGGAAGGTATTTTTCCACTCCACATGGCACTTTCTCTGAGAGCATATATACACCTACAGCAGTAGTTGGGAAAGCTCTGGTACAGGTTGTTAGGCAAGTGAATGAGCCCAGCCTTGCATAGGCACAAGACAGGCATTTAATCCACAAAATGTCTCAGGTCATTTCAGTGTGTTAAGTACAGTGCATGACATATTTCAGTGCAGCTAAGGATGGCATTGCACAGGGCATTTATTCCATAGTTCTGTTTTAATGTCATTTCCAATCTTTATGTAATATGCAGTGGATAAATTTATAAGCCATTTTGGTGATCTGGTTATATATATATTATGACTATAATCAGAGGAAAATTCATGACATATGGAAAAAACTGTCATGTTCTGTGAAGATAAATCATAGTTCCAAAAGCCAAATTAGCATTTCTTGGAGACAGCCATATGGCCGTAAGAGATTGAACTGATACAGTGTACTTATTTCCTCAAGATTCTTTAAATGCCACCACCAAAAATCTTCTGGTAGTTTCCAGAGGGAAACAGGTCAAAAGCTATCACCACTTTAAAAAATGTTATGTGATAATGTCCCTAAAGGTAAATTACTACTCCTTAGTCCCCTTTTTGAAAGCAAGAGAATTCAGAGCTGTCACTCAGAGCCATGTTTAATTCCTGCCTGGGACCAACATCACCAATTGCACTTTTAAGAAGAACCTAGTGGAGAGACTGCAGGGTCAGAGTTTTAAATTCCATGTGACTGTTGGCTTTGGTGAAGCAACAGTACTAAGAGGAATAGAAAATAAAAAATACAACAACATTATTCAGAACAGTGTTCTAGATGACCATTTTATAATGTGTTAAAGCATTTTTAAAACATGTCATACTGACGTACTTTAACTTTGGTATAATGCCAAAAACTTTAATATTTTAATTATAACCTTAAGAATTCAGTGGAATAATGCAGACATTAGCAGCTTTACAGCTTACTGGAAATTAAACATGTCCCAACAGAACACAGTTTAATTGTAATCATAAATCAGCTGTATAATTGTTATGAAAGCCATGTTTGATAATTAAGGGTTAAGTCAACTATAGTTTTCTTGTTCAGTACAACAGAAATAATTTAAAGCGTGGGGTTTTTTTTTCCTGTTGGCATCATCTGTGTTTGTTCTTTTTTGGATTAACAAACCTGAGCACTCAGTCCACATCAGGACTTATGTTGAAGATGACTTCCCTGCTTTGACCTATGTTGTGTGTGATCCCTGAGAGGGGTACCTGCAGCTGTCTTCAAGTGCTTTGGTGTACGTCTACCACCTCTGCTAGTGACTTTCTGTTCATAGCACTGGTTTATAAACATGGGATGTATCTTTGGAAGCTCATGGGTACAGGGCTGGGCTTGTATCAGGCAGTAGCATGGGCCCAAAGACACTTTCTAGTGCAGAGCACAGCTCTGTGTTAGGGAAAATAGGCCAAATTACTTTCGTTGCTAGCTGAGCAAGTAGTCGTGAGATCCCTTTACTGGGGACAGTGGAGGATGTTCCTTTTATTGTAGTTGACCAACAGGTAAGATTTTAAAAACATGTCTAGTGTTTTAAGGCATTAATGAAGATTTATGCCATCCCAAACCCAGTCACCAGTGAGGTTCAAATGTTACAGCCAAGTTACCCTGAGCCCTCCCATTCACTTCCAGGGGAGATGAATGAGATCCCATGTCAGGGAATAGCAGCCTTTGCCTTGACTTGCACCCCCATGCAATGTAGCTGGTCGATGCTTATGCTTGTGCTCCTGGAACAGCTCTAACCCTTGCTATAATGTCCTTTAATAACACTTAGTAGCATCTTTGTGCTTGTTAGGAAAGATTTGATCTGGATGCTTCACAAGTTTCTGTGTCTTTGAATCAGTAAAGTCAAGCTAGCGATATCCTTGATGTCAGGGTACAAAGCCATGACGTGGTTCACCTCACTGTAAGGGAAAAGGGAGCACAGCTCCCTGTGTAGGTTTGCTTGCTGGGCAGAGGGTGGCCTTGCAGCTGGGGTGGGCCAGTAGTCACTGTAAGGGCCACTGGGGTAAGCAGGGGCTTTCTGGAAGAAGCCCAGTCCATTGCTGGTGTCTAACAGAAAGGGCTGCTGAGGGGACGGGCTGGGGAAGCAGTGCTGGTGCACCTGGTGCTCGCTGTACAAGTGAAGGGGGTCAGGGGGAAGAGCTGCAGCCTGCGGCAAAACATGGTGCTGAGTCTCCAGGGCCTGTTTGTGCTGAGCACCATCGCGGCCGTAGGGGCTGCTCCGCCCCATCCCGTGCATGCCGCAGCCCTCCTGAGGCCAGCTGTGGTCTGGGCACATCCCGCCCCGCAGAGGCGGGAACACCCTTCGCTGGAAAGGGCATCCCGGTAAGCAGCTGTGGTCCAAACCCTGGGGGTGATGGAGCGAGTAGGGGCTGTGCCTGAGGTCAGCACAGCGATGAGGGCTGTCTGCCACCTCCCTGTCCTCAGAGGTGCGGACGAACCAGTCGTAGCCGTAGGTGTTGTCCCTGACAGACAGCGCTGACATCTTCTCCAGCAGCGCCTGCTCTCGCAGCAGCTCTGGCTGGAGCAACCGCTGGTCAGAACCAGCGCCGCCAGCCCAGGCACCGCCCGGCCGCTCGGAGCAGCTCCCCTGGGACCACCCGGGGTAGCAGGAGGCCCCTGCGCAGCCGCTGGTGTCTCGCAGCGTTCCTGTGCAGGCGTCGCAGGGTGCAGGCTCTCCTCCAGTCCTGTATGGCGAGCGGTTACACTTCTCTTCCTCTTTCCCCAGGCTTACCGGGACCTTTGTTTTGGCCCTCAGCTCATCAGCAACCGAGAGCTGAGCTTGATGTGGTCTCTCTGGGTGGTAAAATTTGCATTTATTGCCATAGGTGCATTTTTTACCTGAAAGAATCAGAAAACAAACAGGATGTTGTCACTAGCACCTGGTCGATTAACGTACTCATCACTTCTCCCCAGCACTGTGCATTTGCATGGGTGGGGTGAGGACAAACATCAAAGAGGGGAAATGTTTTTTTCCAATTCTTAACTTTTGACCCCAGATTTAAATATTGCTGGCCTAAATAGCAGGGTGAAGCAGCAGAGAAAGTAAGCTTCTGCTATTTCGGAAGCGTCCGAAATTCATTTATGTTCCGGTTGCTGCACTCAGTGGCCTGGGAGACCTGCTGCTACAAAGGGTTGCTTTGAAAAATGGCACAGGGACTTACCTCTGAGAACCCTGCACATGACTGGAAAGCTGTTGGGAGGGGAAGTGTTTGGATGGCCTTTCCCAAGACCACTCCACAAAGTGAAAAGCTGCTGCCTTTGCTGAGGCTGGAGCCACTTAAGCAGGAGAGGAAAACAACATCACACCTTTGAGCAGCCCTACTCCAATTCTCCACCACACTAAGCAGGACAGCACATGGCACCAGTGCTTGCCTGTAGCTGAAGAAAAGCCCTGCTGGCAAGCAAGGGGCAGGGGGAAGAGGGGTGACAGTTCAGAGCAGGGGAAGAAACCCACCATAGGGGCAAGGCTGCCACTTTGGTTCAGGAAGCACTGGCTTTTTGCTGAGGAAGTTATTAAGAGTGGGTCCGTGCCGGCCTAATGGATCATCAGGAGGCATAAACCTGAAAAAGGAAAAAGTCACAGGGATATCAGAAATACCTCGAGCTTTTGGAGCTAAAGTGCCATCACAGCTTGTGGCACAAATTTAGGATGGAAAAGCCTTGTAATTCTTTTGTGGCCTGGCCTTCATGAGTCAGGCTGTGTTACTAGACAGAGTGCCCTGCCTGCCAAGACAACAATGCTTCAGCTTCATGTAGTTTTATGTCATTAGGAAAAAAACAACAACAATTGGAAAGGGATGGTAGCTTGGCCTAGCTCTGGCCAGCCAGCAGCCCTAGCTGTGGTACCACCCCTTCCTTTTTCTCTGAAACAGCAGCAGCAGCAAACTGTTCTGTGGTCCCAGCACTGCAATCCTCACCATCAGCTCCCTTCCACAGCAAATTCCCTTTTCTTTTACTAAATACTTGTAGAAGAATGACATTTAAGAAGCCAGCAGTTAATTCAGAGCTACAGCTGATCATGTACATGGTGTACATTTTCAAGGATTCAGTAAAGGCTTCCAGCTACAAGGCCTGCAATATGCTCAGATAAAAGTGTACATTCTTCTGTGCCAACACGTGAATGCGATGCTTCAGGAAGAAAACTTAGCATCTCTGGACTTATTTGCAACCCACCCATGGAACAAGTCTCTGTTGGATGAAGGGAGTTGTGGGCAGTAGGGGAAGACAGACACTCAGGGAGTTTGGTTATCCACATAACGGGACTGAAACCTCCAACTTCAGGCTGTGGTTTTAGAGAGGTTCCCAAAGCTGTGCAAGAAGGTCTTGCTGAATCTATTCAAACGGGCTTCACACTAACAGCTAGACTTCTGAGAGAAGGGTTCTGAAAAGATCTGGCAATCTCTATGAAATAGGAAGGAGAATATCATATAAATATTTGTAACCCATTAGTAACTAGGGAAGAAGCCCTGTGGTAGTTGGAATTAATGGACTGAAGCTTCAATAAATACAGGGTGCTGATGTTCAGCAACTACATTTCTGTGAACATTACAGGGAAACTGAACCCCAGTGCCAAGCACTCCCATCTGATTTTGGTGGCAGAAGAGCCAAGTCTCCATCCTAACCCATGGAGGCTGCTTCTCCACTTGCACTCGTCCGTGATACTGGATGTCTCTGAGTATGTTTCCCCAGCCGAACTGATGGCTAATGAACACCTCTGCTACGAGGAGACAACGTTCGTACATACAGACTAAGGAGCATATGGCTCAGCCTCACAGGCACGGCGCAAGTGCCCTAGGCAAAACCTTCCCCAAGGGGGATGGTTAAGGGCCAGACAGACCAGCTTCTTGTCTCTCTTCTTCTAGAAAGTTATGATTACAAAAACATAGGGAAAAGTGCTGTTCTGCCTTGCAGGGGAATTAAAAATACTGCCAGATAGAATTGGAAAGAAACAAAGCTGGTCACTAGTGCTGCCATTCAAATAGAGAAGTTCATTGAAGAATGACGTGGGGGGGTGGGAGTGGTAAGACCAAATCTTAGGGAACAGGAACTGAAGAAATGAGATAAGAAAAGTTGTGGTGGATTCCTTTCAGAAAAAGGCTCATGTAATCTGCTACTGGTGGGAGGTGCATTGATGTTGGAGTTGACTTGGCCCATAATGTTTCAATTCAAGATTGTTTAACAACTGTCTCTTACTTGTTACTGACAAAAGAGTACATGAGTAGTCGCTGCTCAATAAACCATTTCCACTCAGGGTTTTCATTCTGGAGATCCCGGTAGTGGTCATTGGAAACAATCACTCCGTCTTTCTCATAAGCGACTTTCACTATATAGCGATCATCATAGCAGACTACCCTCTTGCCTTTCACCTTCCGGGATGGAGTGTACACAAGGATGGATTGCTTTTCAAGCTCTTCAAGAATGTGCTGATCTGGTGGCAGAAATAGAAAGGAAAAACATTTTTTTTTTAAAGATTAATTAATTAATAATGACCAGGTCTCAATCATGTGTTAGAAACCTACAGGAATCTAAAGATGTTTCAGCACATCAGGCAACTTAGAGTAGTGTGATTTTCAGATGCACTGATATCTGGTGGTTATTTGGTAACTTGAAAATTAGGTCTTTTACAAAAACATCTTCTAAAATTGGGGAGACCCTTTTTTTGATTTTTAAGTCTTATCTGTAAAAGGATGGCTTGAATTCTACACCAGAGGCATACTGAATCCCCATATTACCCTTTTTAACCTGCTAGATGCTAGAAGGCTCATAACCAGCCCTGATATGAGCTTCTCTTGGAGATAAAATGTGCTTGATAAAATAAACAAACAAACAAACTTCTGTTGCTATTAAGGACACTCTTGACTTATCGTCGTTCCTGTGATGCAGAAAGGCAGATCCCCAGCCACCACATCTGCAGACAGCAAGCTGCTGGCACAAATCTCACAGATCTGTTTCCATACAAACTGAATCTCAATGCCCTCCACAGACCTAAGCTGATGTATTTCCTTCTCCTGGAAGAGGAACTCATGTACCTCCTGTATCGAGGTAATGGGCTAACAGATAATAGTCATGCAGGAGCGAATGTTTCAGATACTGCCACATTTGGATAATGTGTGCAACAGTGATGTCTCCTGTCTGGCCTTAAAAGCTCTGCAGACTCATTGCAAGCTGACAGACTTCTTTAACTCAGCTGGCAGCAACTTGTGCTTGTAAAGCAGAAGGCTCAAAGCAATGTAACAAAGCCTTGTAAGCAGTTTTAGCTGCTAGCCTAGAGAGTGTGGCAATAAATTAATAACTAATTTAAATGATGGAAACCTAATACACAACTTGCACTGTGCTTGTCTTTACAGGGCAAAACTGTACTGGATTCTTCACACCCCATCTCCAAATTGCACATGATGGTTGGCAAATTATGCCCAGGACTGTGACCTACCTGCAATGGGACTGTCTTGTCGAGAGGGCTCCTTTCTCCAGAGTGGAACAAAAACCTTGATGTATGTGTGCCCCCTCTCTCGAAACCAGTCCACCGCCAGCTGGATCCCCCAGCAGGAGAATATCTCTTTGTTTCCGTGACTATAAAAGGAGAAGGATGGTGAGTGAGCTTAGAGTTCTCTTTAACTGAGTCAGTAATTAAAAGGCAAAATAAACAGCTTTTGTGTCATTCAACAGTTTTCTAGAAAACAACCTGGCAGGGTGTCCCAGTTGGACAGATCCAAACACCTCCTCCAGCGGATCCAGAAACTTGCTATCTGAAGCAGTTTGGATATGTAAGAACAGAGGTATCCTATCCCCCATTTCTACAACCTGCCTGCTACCCAAGCCTGTTGCTGCCATCTGTATCTGGATGAACTTGGGGCCTAAAGTACCAGCAAGATCTTAGGCTGTGTCAGAACTTTTGTGTGCCTTGTCTGATAAAGATTTAAAGAGTGAGAGTTTCTTCCAGCACAAGCAGAAACAAGTGAGATTCTCCTCCAAGAAACAAAATGTGGGAATTTTCTGCTGTGGTAACAGTGACATTAGGAACTTTAATGTCTGAAATGGCTGCAAGTGTGCTCACAGGTCATTCAGTTGCTGACCTCTTTTTGAAACAGAAGTCAAACTATGGGGGAAGGAATACTGTAAAAAGCAGGATGGGAGGTATGGAGAACCTAATCTAGGACATCAAAAGAGGGATGTCAGCGGAGATGGCCACAGGCACCTCAGGCTCATCTTTATCTTGTCCTAGTTGGTGGATTTTGTCTTCATTGCATAGAGAGGTAGGAAAGCCCTAGGACAGGAGCTGTAGAGGATGCAGGCAAGGCAGGTTCTGAAGAGTTATCAACATTCAGAGCAAAACACAGAAAACAACCTCAGGAAAAACAATCAGGGGTGATATCCTTCCTAAGTTTCTCCCACCCCCCCTGAAATTTCTTACTGATTGTCATTTGCTTATCTAAAATTTTACTACAGTGCAGTGCACCTGTAAAAGAAGGGTAATTTGTTAAGTACCTCTGCACAAGGAAACAAAAATAAACTCTACAGAGTCCTAAAAGGGATAAGTGCCTTCACATTATCTACAGAAACCTCATCCTTGTACTTTGAGCTTTCTGGATAATATTGCCACAATCTCACTCAGGCTTTCACCTCTGCAAAACATTCTTGTAAAGGACTCTCTTGGTTACTACACCTACCTGCAGTGACAGACCAGTCGAGGACAGTGCTGCTGTCTTAAATGCCTCTCCCACCACCACCCCCCAGGAATTCATATCTAGGTTCTGCATACATCAGTGTCATAACCATTTAACACCTAATAAAAGTTTCAGTACTGAAATGGTGACCACAAATGAAAAATAGTACAATTTGGAGGAAGAAATCTGGTTGGTTATTAATAGATACCCAGGCAATAGGAAGTCTTAAGAAACCCTCACCAATAATAAACGGTCTGGAGTGCTTGACATATCCAATCTCCATTCTAGACCAGCTGTTTTGTTTGGTTTTAAAGGATGGGCTCTACCCAGGATAGGTATAAAGACACATGGACAGATGACTTGGAAGTTCAGGTGACTTTTTCAGATAACTGCCTTTAAAAGGAAGTCTAGATACATCTTTAAAGCCATGACCCCAAAAAAGTTCAGCAACAGCCTGCTTTAACATTGACTACTCATGTATATAACTCTGTCAGCTTTAGGAAAGTAATTCTAGATGTACCCCCGCCCGGTGCAGAAAGTAAAGCACTCAAGCACAAGTCAATTTGTCCAAAAGGCCAAGCAGAACAAGTGAAAAGAGGCACCTGGAATTGTGTCTCAGCATTATCACTTAATCCAGTTGCTGCCACATGGTTGCAGCCAAACCTGGGGAATGTGTACCTAGAATAGTATGTACACACGTTGTGTGCTGTGGTGCTGACACAACTGAACACCAACGTCTGCCATGCAATGGAGCAGGGGCTTTAAAACCTTACATTGCCCCTGCATGGTGAATTTGTGTTGTGTGACAACGGGTTGGCTCCTGTCAGTCACCTTTCCCACACACCCCCATAGTCCGTGGACCATAACTGATCTGTCAACTCAGTCCCATCAGTCTCCTGCCAGCAACAGGGTACATTGCACTTGGGTCACAGATCAGCAGGGCCCATCTCTCAAACTGAAGCAGAAATTTGGCCTCATTGTGATGCTGGCAATTAATCCATAATTAGCACACAGTGATTCCTTTTTAAATTGTGCAATTCCAACCCCTTTGAGAAAAGGTTTAAAAACAACTCCTTTTGAAAAAGGCAAATTCCCCATCTGCACCTGGTCATGACACAGCATCAGCCACAGCTTTGGCAGAAGGGAGAGAGCATTGAGCCAGCCCTACCCACTGGCCTAGGAAAAGGCCACTGTACTTTTAAAACAGCTTTAAAACTAGGTGTAAGTGCAAGCACTAGATTAGATAGCCTCTTCAGTGTGCAGTGAATAGGTTATGACATTTCCCTTTTCATATTAGCATAACTCCATTTATTTTTTTCCACTAGCCTTGCTAAACCATCCTGCCTGGCTTTCCATGAATAGGCTGGCAGACAGCTAAGTTTCTCATTATATCCAATGGAAATGCAAAGTGCACTGAGATGCTTGACTAGTGAGACTGGCTGAAGGCAAGGTTATTTTCCATTCAGCTTCTATGGATAGGCCGACTGAAGCCTGGAGACTGCCAACTCACTCACTTGCTTTATTACCCTGGGGCATATACATCCTTTTCAAAACCTCACACCCTGCAATGGGCCCTCAATGCCAATTCTGAAGTACTCCAGAAACACCAACCCTAAGATAGAAATACAAATACTTGAGATATTTTTCTCCACACGGCCAACTGCTTCTCCAAGCTCCACCTTTTTGACAGCTTCATCCCTAAACTGCTGCTTCTCCTGCACTTTTATGGTTGTTAGTGTTGATGATGATGAACCTTTCCCAGCAAGGAAACCTAACATCCCTTTTCCCTGAATTCTGAAGACAGCCCTTCTCCCTCTGACAGCAACAAACCAGAAAAATTAAAACGAGAATACCAAAAGCACTCACCAAGCCTGTCCCATTAGCCAAAGTAAATGCCATTCAGAACAACCTTGACAGGCATCCAGGAGAGGAAAGCAGCTCCCTTCAAGGCTGTGTCAGTTCAGTACAAACTGAACTGACAAGCTCAGTAGTCTTCTCCATCATCCAAGTAAGTCTTTAACTTTATCAAGACAGAGAGGCTGGGGATGTCTGAGAAGAGCTGTAAAAACTTTGCCTTTCTGAAACTCAAAAGTACGTCACATTCCTCTAATTCTTTTTAGGTGAAAGATGAGGAATCCACATCAGAACACCAACCAACCATCTCTCTCACATTTTGGAAACTATTTGACAAAAAGATTTAAATTTTACACGCCAAAAGCACGTGACTTCCTAAAAACCCATTTAGGTGGGCATGTGGTCTAGGAAAGCAATACAACATGCTAGCTCAAGCCATCTACTGTACAAACCTATAATGACATTTGTTTTAAATAATCTCTCTAGCAAGCTCCTGTGTGCAGGCTGGCACAGTGGGATGATCTCAGAGCTTTCCCAGAGTACTCCAAGCTCAGAACACGGACTATCTATCTCATTAGCCCCCAAACTACTCCGGGCCTCCTGCTCTGTGGCAAGGGTGCATCTTCTGACACCTTGGAAAGAATGCTGTTCTCTGCCTTGTCCACCTCTGCCTGCTCTGGAAAAACCCTGGTGAACTGGCAAGGACAAGGTTGTGCCAGGAGAATGGAGCACATGGCTAGTCAGGGGTAGCGTTGCCCCTAACACAACGAAAGGGTAGTTGCTCAGCTCAGCCACTCTGCCTGGATGGGTGCCCATTTCTTTTGAAGTGAGGCAAGAAGGACACTCTAAGGAGGGTCTAGGATGAAAATACAAATGGGAGCAGGAGATCCTATCACCTGGCTACCAGGCTCATGGCCCAGCCAAGGCTAAGCAATTTCTCTGTTGTGTATTTCTCACTCCTCATGAGACACTGTGACCGAGGAGCCCCTCGTTTTCAGATGGGATTTCTCCCTTCATCCAGGAGATGGCATAATTTGCTTAGTCTCCAAGTTGCTCTGGATGGGCTTCTCCACTTTGCCCTCTAACCGGGGAGGATGTGGTCTCATCACCTCACCTCTCACCTCACACCAAAGCTAACCGAAGGAGGAAGCCCTCCCTGCTCTGCCCTGTCCCAACCTGCAGGGACAGGCTTGGCTCTGATGAGTGGACAGGGATGGTTACAAGGAAGACCGGTGGACAGCCACCACGTCCTGGAGGCTTGACTGCTGGCGCCTCTGGCTGTTCGTATTGCCCTAGTAAACAGAGGCCGACCCACTCTGTCTTTGGGCTCCCCATCAGTAAGAGCACTTGCACAGTGGCAGGACACTGCTTAGGAAATGTAATTGGCCAGGATGGGTTGCTATGACATTAAGGAGGAAATGAGACTATTCAAAACAAGTCAACTATCAATTTCCTGGTATTTCCATTAAAATGAAGCCAAACCAAAAAAACAACCAAAATATACAAGCCTGGAACACTGTTGGGGTTTATTTGCAAGCCAAAGCTGTACAACTGTGATGTTGTTAGGACCCACAGTCACCCATCTTTATTCTCCCTCACTTTCTTAGGTTAGTTGGGCTGTCCTGTCTATCTGTTCACCAGTTTTTCCCAGAAACACCTCAGCATATATGTTTAGAAATCTTAGGTACCCATTTGAAGTCAGGGAAATATCAATAGTGAACTAAAAGGGAGACAGAGCTGCTGAATCATACTGCCATAAACGGCAGTGGTTAGCTAGCTGTTGGCTTATAAAAGGTCAAAATGCAGTGTAAGCCAGTGATTGCATTTGGCATGCGCATTTATGGGCATAGAGACAGCAGGTCCCTAGAAGCTGTGCCTCAGCCAAAGAACAGGAATAAGCAATGGTTCATACATTATACATCAGAGACATCAATGCACCTCTCACCTGAAGAAAAAACATACTTCAAGTCATCAGCTTTAAAATTCAAAAGCTTCAGAAGAAGAGAGATCCCTTTTAGGAAACAGAGCTTACCTCATTGCAACATTGCTGCCATCAATCACAATGGGTCTCAAGTAATTGGAAGAATCACTTTCATCTTCTCCAAGCCACTTGGACCCTGGTGTAGTGGTACATGATCCACGGGCAACAAGTTTTAGCAGGGAAGGCTGCGCGTGACTCTCCAGAGCTTGAGGCTTGCTCCCCATCCGAATCAGCTCTTTCAGCACATCATCCTCCAGGGCCTCTTGGCCCAGGCTCTCCAGCACTTTGCAGATGTCCTGCTTACCATAGCCCAGCTTGCAGAAAAAATCCAGCTTGCTCTGGTGCACTTCCACTCCGGCCATAGAAACTTTTCTGGAGCGTGGTGGTACTGGTTTGCTAGGAAGAGAGCTGGCCAATGCCATCTTAGCAGGCATTTACGTTCCTTTAAACCCAGTGCTCCTGTCTTCCCAGCCTTGTCCAACAGGCATCAGCTTTAGGGAGGAAAAGATCAGAAAAAAACAAAACACAAGTGTTAAGGAAGAACATGCAATCCCAGTTATTAACCTAGTGCACAGAGGCTATCTGATCAGCTGTCTTCTCTCTGATGAGACTGTGCAGTCTTCTCTGAGCATTAAAGCATTTTTCTGGTCCACTCTTCTTTATAAAGCATTGGCGTGTCCCCTGCAATGTTTGTCACTCTGCAGGCGTTATGTCAGACAGGTGTCATCCTACTTCATGAGCTGTGCGAGCCTGCCTGTACACAGACATGCTGTATGCGTAAGTTTGTTCTTCAGACTTATCTCACAGGAAATGATACAAAGGACGGTGTAACCGGGGATTTTCAATTTGCTCAGTGTGGTTTGTGAGCCACAGATAAAAATCTGTCGAATGTTGTTGGATGAGCGCAGATGCCATAGCAACTTAACAAGTATAGCAAATTTCATCGAGTGATTTAAGGGAACGTTGTTTGCAAAGTAGCTGGGAACTCTTCACTTTTTTTTATAGTTTTATCTTTCCTAGTATGTGTCTGTCTGTGTGTATACACAGACATACCTTATGAAATTCTGTCACTCATCTACTCCAGTGATGCCTGACTTACTCCTTTCATGTTATTTGCTATTTCAGTGAGGACTTATATTCAGAGAAACAGCTTGGTTTTTTTGAAAGCTGTCGGGGCAGTGGCTGGAAGCAGGCAATCTGAAAAGCAGTTTTCAATTTCACTTATACTTATTGTCAATAGAAACTGATAATTCAGAAATGAGTGTGCAGAAGTAGCAGAAAGCTACTTCAAGCTTCTCCAGAACTGCACTGTTTACGTTTCTGGTCTACCCAGTAAATGAAGGTGATGAGCAGTGTACGCAGGCATACCCAGAGCTGCTTCAGCCCAACAAGGGTGACAACAGGACGTACGCGATCACCATTCACCCATCAAGCCAAACATCTTTGGTCACAGTTAGCATGCTTGCACCAAAACTTCTCTTGCCGCATCTCTGCAATTATTGGTGCTACCTGGATAAAAGCTGTGGCTGGATCATTTACCCACATGTAGGACGTAAAGGCGGCCCTCTTCCCTTCACTAATTGCAGTCAGCAAATGACACAGAATTAGCTAACCAAACTGCATCCATGACGAGCCCACAGCCATAACCACATTGCACCCACCAGCTCCACTTCCCAGCCCATCCTGCACCCTGCAGCTACTCCCTGCCCAGCAGTGGGCCACACCAGGCGCCCAGTAGTCAAAACCATCTGGAGGAAGGCACAGAGGTACTGGAGATGGGAGAGGAGTCTGAGTGCAGCTCCTCCCTGAGGCATTATGAGCCCTCCCAGGCTGTAGGGAAGAAATCTGCCTTGGGTTCAGTTAATTTAAAACTGATTAATTTAACACTGATTTCCTGATCAGCAGGAAAACCTGGTAAATTGTTATAACCCCACCTCATACAACTTTGACCTTTACTTTTCTATGGAGCCTTATAACTTCCAGGTATTCTTCTGTGGAAAAAATCTGTCACTCTGTAAAATGTGGCAAATAGCATCAGTAAAATAAATACCATAAGTATGTATATACGTTAGGGGAAAGCAGTTGCCATGTGTATTTTTCCATCTAAACCAAAGCATTGTTTATTGTAGCCAGTGGGCTTGACTGTTTTTACTCACAGTACAACCCACAAGTGTAACAGTTTTTACATCTAATCCTTGTTTTTAATTCATGAAGATGAAAACATATTTGCCCATTTTTTCATTACTGAAATGGTTTCTCAGCTTTGAAATAACTACTCTCAGAACTGAAATTCATCCATGTGTCTTTATACTGAAGCTGTCACACAGAACTGGGCTAGCAATGTAGCAAACCCTTCCAGATGTGCAGTCAGTGGCTCTAAACACTTAACATGTACTACTTGACTGGCTTTTATGCCTAGATTATTTTAATAGATTATTGTAACTGAAAAATTTTAGTTGCTATCAGTCCTCAGGTTGGAAATATTTAATACATATTTTAATAACCATCACTGTTATTTTTTAAACCTGTACTTCTATCCTTTTTAATTTTTTTAGTATCAGAGCAATTTCCCACATTAGCATCACATTGTGTTGTGTGTATGTTTGTCCTGGATTTCGTTGGAAAGTAGGCTCAAATCAAGCCTTCAGAACTTTACCAAAGGCAGCTTCCCAGCTGCAGAGGGTGTGGAGGCCACATCCATCCCGCAGTGTGTAGCTCGCAGCCCCAGCAGCAGCACATGTGAGCACACGCTGGATGGAGGCTGCTCACCATGTCACTTTTTCAGCCCCATCATAGGAAGCCCCAAGCCCGTGACCCACCACAGCTCCATGGCTCCACACTTTGCATCCTGGCACGCAGAGGCAGCACTTGCAAAGCTTGGCCTTTGCGTACACCCTGTGGCTTGGCAAGCTGGGGCAACATGTGGGAAACACCAAGCTCTGGGTTGCTGCCCGGGGTTGATACGTTGCAGTATCAGCCATCACCAGCAACACGCTAGTTTTGCAAAGTTAATGGCTGGCTTTCTGCTTGGTCACAGCCAACACTGAGGTCACCCTTCTAAAGAGAGCATTAAAGCATTATAAAATCACTAGCTTACACATTAGTAAACACTCAGGAGCGTTCTCAAGTCCAACAGGTCAGTTGGTTGCTTATAACCAGCACAAAAACATATGAGAACAGGAAAAACTGTGCATCACAGAGTCCAGCCTTTGCTATCACAGACAAGCAGGTTGTGAAATTGCATTTATAAACTTTATGACTTTCCTTTTCAAACTACTTAGATTTCCTCCTGCCACTTTCCCCTTCTTACCTCAGCAGACCCTGTTGGGAAGCTGCTCTTGTTTTCCCCCCACTGAGAGTCAAAGTCTTCTCATTTCCAGAATAAATTTATCCACAGATAATCGTGTGCTCATCCTATGTTCTAGCTTAAAAAGCACCCCTCTCTGTCTGGGGATGTGCCCCCTCTTGCATACACACACACCCACACAGGGAATGGTTTTAGTCATGTTTCCAAAATTCTATATTAATGTAAACATTTTAGGTATCAAAAAACAAAAATTACTTTTGACCAAAAAATTGAGACACCTGTCAAAGTATTCTGGGGGTTTTTTAATATATATTTTGACAGATTTGGAAAATCAGAAAATAATAATTTGAAATTTTTGTACAAACTCAGAAAAAAAAAGTAGTGGTTATATTCTAATTCCTCATTTTGAATGCCATTAATAATTCTTGCCTAGTCCCTCCACGAGGTCTCTGCTCCACTTGCAAACAGTGAGAGCAGGCTCCGGTGCCCTGCAGGTGAATATTCCAGCAGCACTTCCAGCAGCCTGAGGCCATAGAACCACAATAAGGACCAGCTTGATTCAGAGGGAGCTGAGACTCCTCAAAGCCCCCTCCAACATCCCGTCCTGCCACAGCAGGGGCAGAGGGGACATAGTCCCAGTCAGACCTAGCACTGGTCAAGGCAGAGCAGGTTTGAGTCTTCTCTAAACTAGGCACGCATGCCAAGTAACACCAGAATCACAGCAACAGCTCCCTGCCACAATATTTCCCCTCACGCCCTAAGTCTGGGCCACCCCTTCTTCCTCCTCTGTCCTTGAGAATCACACTGCAAACCACCTGAGCCTGCCAGCCCACCTGAGCCCTTCCATGAGCTGTTTCTCTGAAAGAAGACAGGCTGCTCTGCTTTCAGAAAAATAAGAATTTTTACTTTCAGAAATTAAAGACGCAGGCAAGCTCTTAATAACAAGACCAGCCATTTATTGTCCTGATTACTAAGATTTGCCGTTTTCTTCCCCACCTTCCCTGTACATTTGCCAAAAATAATAAAACCAAACTCCCCAGAGAACGAGCTGTACTCACAGGTAGGCCCACTTGCTCTGCACCTCACCTGACAGCTGCTCTCTCTGCGTCCCAGCAATATCGTCCCACCATTCACAAGCCTGAAGCTGGCTTCAGAGCAGTACCAGGCTCACAAGGAAGTTATCAGCACATATTTAGAGGCTTTATGGCAAGGCTGATGTCAACTGAGAGCAAACAAGTGCAGTGAGCAGGTTAGAGCTCATTCTATAGGAAGGTTTTACTTCCTCATTTGACTGGCTGAACTCTAATTTAACTGTACAGGTTGGTAAACTTTCACTTCATTTTTTTTAAAAGGAAAAAAAAAATTTAAACAACAACAAAAAAAAGAGGTTCCCAACACATCTCAGCTCTGAGTCACAGACAAAGATTAGTCAAACCCATTCTGGCAGGGATCCATAACACCAGGCAGTAAGAAAAATGGCATATGAATTCCAGAGCAATTGAAAAGGTTTCCACTAGGGATGCTTTACCAAGTTATTTCAGCTTCATTCCCCCTGCATCTGGCAAATTTCTGACCTTCAGGGACACAGAAAAAAAAATATTTTTAAAAAAAAAAAAATCAACATTTTGCTTAGGACCTGATATTTCAAAGTCTGATTCAAACACTTCCACATCTGAGGGAATCTGCTCTGGGAGACTACAGTAAAATATCAAAACCCAAACAAAACCCCCAATTTACTGGTGCCTTGATCAAAAAATACTTGAGAGACATGCAGCCTATCCACAGCAAAGACCAACAGGCACTTCCCTGTAGAAACCTGAGGTTTTCCTCTACTTGTTCCTTACCTTGCTGCAAACAAACACGCCCCAAATCCACTTTTAGGCAGCAAGAAAGGTTTGAGACTCAAGGAGGGGTTAACCTCTGCGCCCCTTGGATGCTGCTGACAGCTCTGCAGGCCAGTGCCCTCTGCCCACAGGGCCAGGGAGGGAGGGGGAACCCTGCTGTGGAAGGAGCGCACCTCTGACACTGTCGAAGGTGTCACTGGAGCAGGGCTACCCTTTCCTGGCCAGAAATTCCCCCCTTACTTGCATATTCCATGGGAGACAGCAGGGTGGCCAAACCCTTTGTAGGGGCACCCTGTTTAATCCGAAGGCTGATTGCTGGTAAGGCAGCCTCACCACTGCTTGCCAGATGGTTCCAGTCGATGTTTATACCTTTGCATCACACCCAGGCTCTCGGGAACCCTTCGGGACCCAGACTGCCCTGC